GGTTCAACGGAGAAATAGAGGAGGTGTAAACCAGCTGGATGTGGGTGTTCAATGGGGGGAAATAGAGAGGTTAAACACTGGGCATGTACTTAACAGGCAGAAGAAGTAACGAGCACCGGTCTATTCAATGAAGAAATGGAGAAGCAACACAGGCGGTTGCTGCTGCCTCAATGAGCAGAACAGCAAGATAATACATTGGTGTCCCGAAAAGATTCAAGCAACGATATGCTGCGCCGCAGGAGGTATACAACATTGTGCTTAAAGGGCAGCGGCGTGCGTTGTTTAATCGTATGCAGCCGTCCCGGATTTCTTTCAATTCTTGAATCAACGCTGATTCGAACCGCGATGGACGCGCAATAAATAAAGTGAGGGGGCAAACGTTTTTGTAGTATGATTACGTTAACGTGTTCCTCTTATTTTTGACACGTATTTATTAAGAATTTCCGCACCAAAATATTTAATTGCAGTTATTATTAGTTAATGATTAACTTATCGTGTCGTAGTAGCTTACAAAAGATCCTAACCTCAAACATAATCGCAAATTCAATTTAAAACAAATAACAAACTCACTCTAACAAGGACTTGGGCGGTGAATTTTAACTTGATGCACTGTACTTGTTAATAGCGTGTAACTATACTACAACGGGAACGACTTGATACTATAAAAGTTCATATTAAACATCCCGTACAAGATTGTTCACCAGCTACTTATTGCCATCAATTCATATAATGATAAATTTATATATTCAGGATGATATTCACTGTTTATAAATATGCAATATGTAATATATATATATATACAATAACATTCATTAAAAGCCGTTTATATTATTCATCTAGTATCGGTCTTCTCCGCTGTTTATATCCCATGCAGCATAACGGCAAGCATGTATCAATGAGTCACCTATTATAGTCGGACTAATTATACATTATATGCAGGCCATTACAAGTATATGCATTGTAATAAGCCAGTATGAAGAAAGAGTACTCTCGAAGCGCTTTCTGGATAAAATTTGACAGCCGTCGATTCTTATTGGCTATATTTATCTTTCATATCTACATGCATGTCCATGTGTGGTCCATATGTTTTTACTGTATTATTATATATACTATATATATATACTATATATATATATATATAATATATATTATATACAGTGGAACCCCACCGCGCCCCCGATTAACGCGAATTCGCGAACTAACGCGATGATTTGTTGAACCCCTTTTTTGCTCTATATAAGCCATCGTATTATATAACTGTCGATATTGACCCGGCGCCAAACCACGCGTTATTAACGGGGCTACATGCTATATAATATATTCATACAAAGACGCGTACTAATCACCTGTGGAGGGGCTAGACGTCGGCGCGGTGGTGTAGACCTGTGCTGCCACTCCTGGTGGGCCGTAACGCAGGCGGCAGCGTGGAGACATTGCGCTGTACTCGCGACGGATAGTAGTCCGAGAGCCGCCATTTCGTTACTCCGCCCGTATGGCTGAAGGCCTGCGACACACGCAGACGACCGGTCACATACACGCATGCACACACACACGCATCACGCATCGCCGCATGCACGACGCACGCCACCAAACACGGTCCACATACCCGCACGCGCCCAGACACCGTGTCACATATCCCGCGCGCGCATACACCGGTCATCATCACGCACGCCACGCACGGCTCGCAGACACTGTCATCAGAGAATATAAAGTCAAAGAAAGATACTCCGCACACAGGCAGAGAAACAGGCAGCTAGTCCCAATCACATAGTAGGGCGCATGTCGCTGTCAACGGCAAATACCGTAGCCAGATGAATGCCACGCTTGGACAGACACCGGCCACATTCAAAACCTATCACCCATAGGACATCAATAGCACATGACCCACAACAGACACCTGCCCTCACATCAGACATATACACCACATAGCAAACGACGCACAGCAAGTTTTCCTACTCTGATGGACGCGCCTTTCACGTCAGCCTCCGCATGTGACACCGCGTGCGATCTGACAGGGTTTTTTTTACCAAAACGTCGTCAGCATACGTAAAATTTGTCGCGAGTGACTTTATAGCGCCAGCTTCTTCTTCGTTTCAAGTTCGTGCGTGCCAGATCGGATTGGCCACTACTCCTTGGCAACGCGGCAGAAACAAACATCGGACCGTTTTAATTCACGACCATGGCCAGACAACTAATGATTGCACGAAGCGTAGAACACATGTCACTCGGGAACAAAAAGCGGTAGTGCGAGCGCTATATTGAGCCACGCTTCACCGACAGAATAATAAAACCGACACGAGTCTACATTACATTAATTTTTTGTTTCTTGTGGCTAAACGGACTCCAATATTTAATGGGTCAGTAAGTTAGCTCCCAAGTTCTCCAGTTCCCAGTTCTGTCTCGAATAAGGATAGCTAAAATAGGCAAAGCAATTACCAGTTCCCAGTTCCCATTCCTTATTACGAATAAAGGAACTCTAGTAACTTAGGCAAAGCAGTTACTCACGTTCGCCAGTTTCGAATATGCCACATTGGAAATTGAAACTGCGTAACTAGTCAAATGTTACTAGTTACTTATTCGGCAAATCTAACCCTTATCGTCACACATTTATTCGAACTGGTATCGTAACTGGTAACTGAATAAGTAGCTGGGAATGAAAAGGAATAGTCCCTGTTTTCAATAGGTTGTTAATTTCGGTCCGCCCGATCAATTACTAGCTAACTATAACTTACTATTAATCTATTTGCCTATTACGTTTCCAATTCAGGTTGTGCATTCTCGAGACTTCGGGAACTGGATAACTGCTTTTGCCTATAGTTCTAGTCCCTTATTCCGAATAAGGAACTGGAAACTGGCGAACTGGGAATGCCTGTTGCCTAGCTACTACGTCTCCTTACTCGAATAAGGAACTGTGGAACTTTGAACTGCTAACTGCTTCCTCGCTAAGTTACTAGTTCCTTCATTCGAATAGGAGACTGGGAACTGGAATCTGCTAACTGCTTTGCCTAGTTACTGTTCCTTATTCGAATAAGGAACTGAGGAACTGGGGATTACAGAAGACTCCACGCCCGCGGGGATACGCAACACATGTGTTATTATCTACTTTTGATGGCAGGCATAGGCCATTCGCGGGCGTCTGGCGGATACACCCACCACTGAATTATTCTGGCAGTGGCCATTCACGATACCTGAGGCTATGCCGGACATTTTCTAATGGGTGCCAGAAGGTTTCCTTTCCAGCTAACCTAGCTTAATTTTGGGGTAACGGTTTTTTAGGTCTGGCGGATGCGCCCCACCACTAAAATTTTTTGGCAGTGTCCATTCCTGATACCTGGGTCGATGCCGAACATTTTCCAATAGGGTTCATGGGGTTTCCTCTCCAGCTAATCTAGCTCAATTTTGGGGTGCTTTTCAAATGACCCCACTAACCACACCCACCAGCGGCTGCCCGCCAGACTTACATTTCCTTACATGGGTATGTACACGAATCATTGCTATATGCATGAAAATTGGTTTCCTTTCCAGCTAGGCTGACCCCCCTGGGTTCCCGGTCTATCAGCTCACTGTATAGCGCTTTAAAAAAAAATTTCAATGTTCTTCGTTAACCTCCTTTTTTGTCTCACTGTATTTTTCAGTTGTTGATTTGTTTAAACGGACCAAGATTCCACCAAATACAATCCAGGTTGATAAAATCGCCTACCACACTGATTCCACTCTCATTCGCATGTTAATTTGGCATCATGGCGGGAAGTTCAGAACTTGGTATTATGTCATTTTAAGTAAATAATATGTGTTTTGCGTTTATTGCAACTTAATTCAATTACATATCTAGCATCTGCGCATCATTTCTCAATCTGTAATTGGTTTTCGATTTCTCCTAATAGCGGTGCTTAGCGTATCAAACAAGCAAGGTCTGACGACCTTTGCCAAACAGTTTCATGATATTGGCTTCCAACTGGTGGCATCTGGAGGAACTGCTCGTGCTATTAGAGAAACTGGATTCTCTGTTAAGTATGTCCTTACTTATTTGACAATTCAAAAATTCTTAATAAGTTGAAGCCGAGTTTATGTTCCGTGTTCTGTGTTCCGTGTTTATGATTTATCAGATTTTTTCTCCAGACTCCATCATCCATGAAAAAACCCGTCTTCAGTACATGTATGTATGATGTAAATTGTAATGATGTATGTATTTTAATTACATGCAAAAAAATGCGAGTGGGTAGCATATAGATTTCAGTGTGTTAATTCAATTATGTCATGTGATGTCATAAGGCTGCTATCGCAGCAAATGATCTAAGAATCTTTATTTCTCGTATAATGTCATTTTTTGACATTTATGTTTTTTGCAGGAATGTTTAAGAAATTACGGGCGCCGCAGAAATGTTGGGAGGGCGTGTGAAGACCTTGCATCCCGCTGTGCATGCTGGTAGCATTCTGTATAACTATTGCAGAATTTACATACATATCGCAGCCCTACATTGGGTAGACCGCATGTCTTGCAGCACCAATCTTGTAGTTGTAGCACGTACAGTATTTATATGATGCAAAAACATTGGGTATTATGGGGGTATACCCATAATTAAATGTGACACAATGCAAAGTGGTAACTTGTATCACGAAAATAACTTTTATAATTAGCTGACATGTTTCCTTACATAATATTGAATTTAATTGAAATAATTTTGAATAATTTCATTACATAAATATTGAATTATCTTATGCATGTATATTACTTTGCTCGTTATAGGCATTTTAGCCAGGAACACAGATGCTGATAAGACTGACATGGAGAAGCAAAACTATCAACTCATCAGGTATTTACTATTGTCAAATTTGGACTGTATAGATTATCAATAATTTCAAATTATACGCGAATTAATCGCCTTCATATGTTGTTTAGATACCTTTATATATTTACGCAAATGTGTATGAAATCACGCAGCGTATCTATAATTCTATATATGTATATATATATATATATCTAGGACATGTATGAAGAAGAGGCCTGGACAGCCTCTACGGGACACAGCTCGACTGTGCTACCCCACGGGGATTTAGCTTGGTTTGTTGTTGCCATTATAATTGTTTATAAAAAACAAAAAAAATTCTTGTAAAAAAAGTTTTGTTAAGAAATTGCTACACTAAGTTACCCTAACCCTAACCCTAACCGTAGCCAGACGACCCCAGGGTAGCGAGCATTTCGATTCACTTTTTAAACACACTTATATATATATATATCTATATAGTAGATATGTATATATACCAAACTGTACTCGGTCTGCGCGATAACATTTCCGACATCTGCGAATGCTGATGATCTCTGCCGAACTCTGTTGGGCCCTATCAAATTCTGTTGACCTCTCGTCAAACTCTGTTGATCTCTCGTCAAACTCTGTTAACCTCTCGTCAAACTGTTGACCCCTATCAAACTATGTTGTCCTTTCGTCAAACTTTGTTGACCTCTCGTCAAACCTTGTTGACCCCTATCAAACTCTGTTGACCTCTCGTCAAACTCTGTTGACCTGTCCTCAAACTCTGTTGACCTCTCATCGAACCCTGTTGACCCCTGTTAACCTCTCGTCAAACCCTGTTGACCTCTGTTGCCCTTTCGTCGATGGCTACGAAGGCTGGTCGTCTGCAACCTGTATCCGTTCGTGAAAACTGTCTCGTCGTCATCGGTTACCGTTGCCGGGGCCGTCGAGGATATCGACATCGGGGGCGTGACGCTGCTGAGGGCGGGGGCAAAGAACCACGATCGCGTCACGGTGGTCTGTGACCCTGCCGACTATACCAGGTAGGCTTCTTCTGTCGTATCGCCCTCCGACGCTTCTATTTAATTAGTTTTATTTGTTTTCAATTCTATTAGCATTGTCTATTAACTTGCTTAACTAATATTAGGAGTAGATAATAGGGAAGGAGTGTGACTTCAATAAACAAAGGAAATTCGTTCTTTACTAGCCTTAGAATACCTACGATTTACTACGCGTAATCGTACACACTACATTCGCCTAGCATCGCGCGAAATCGTTTCCTCGTATACACCCGCAATCCGGAGATACAGACTAAAACGTACGACACGATTTTCCATTATGTTTGCAGAACTAAATGTGTAAACCGCCTAACTCGAAACAAAAGGCAGCTGTAAATAGGTCAAAGATTAGCTCAGCGAGCCACACCGCATCGCCAAGGGCGCAAGAGTCGTTAGTAGCTGCATTTTGTTGTTTTGAGTTAGGCGGTTTACACATTCAGTTTGCTGGCAACATAACGGAAAACCGTGTCGTACGCTTTAGTCTGTATCTCCGGTTTGCGGGTGTATACAAGGAAACGATTTCGCACGATGCTAGGCGAATGTACTGTGTACGATTTGAGCTCAAGTTACTTGAGTTTCGCGTAGTAAATCATAGGTATTCTAAGGCTAGTAAATGACGAATTTCCCTTGTTTATTGAAGTCACACTCCTTCCCTATTATCTACTCCTGCTAATATGTTACCTCCGAAATGTAATTACCTCCGCGCAAACGGAGGTCATGCAATCGCTCTCGTGTGTGTGTTCGTGTGTGTGTGTCCAGTCCGCGCAGCGCGATCGATAGCGCGTCGAGTCAGCGAGCGACGAGTCAGCAGTAACCACCAGTGAACGGCGAGTCAGCAGCAGGCGAGTCAGTCAGCAGCCGCCACCAGCGAGCACATTC